CTGGGAATCCAACCATGATCTCCTGGATCCTAGGCCAATGCTCAACTGCTAAGCCACACCGGCCAGGCAATGTCTTTATATTTTTATAAAATTTTATATTTCTGGAGATTCACATTGGTTAAATAGTTGTTTTCCTTATCTGTTTATGTGGCAACTAATTAACCCTGAAAAATATTTCACTCATTGCATAGTCACAGGTCATGTAAAACCTGAGACAGGCTTTTCTTTCATTTTCCTAAATATTCAGTGAAACAAACATCTCTATTGCAGGTAGAGTTATACGGACACACGTAAATAATTAAAGCCATACAAAAGGCCATACTGTGAAAAGTATAAATCTCCCCACTTCAAATTCCTAGTCTCCCTTGCTACAGACAACCAGTTGCCACTTTCTTGCGTGTCTTCCCAGAGATGTACCATGATCGCTCCATGCCCAACCCAGCATGACCGCTCTGTGCATATGCCAATAGTCAGCCCTGCAATGGGCTGCCTTCATCACTATCATTTCACGTGCATAAAAATTGTGTTTCCCACTGAAAGTACAACCACATGCTGTTCTTTCTTTTTATTTCACCTAGGGAACAAAAACTCAGGACCCCTCCCATTGTAGATATGCCAGTAAACATTCGTTGACCAGCAAGGTTAGGGACAACCCAGCAGAAAAATCTCAGCTCTCTGCTGATGGTCAAGACTAAGGCCTTAGGGAAGACAAAGGAGCGGTCAGGGATAGAAACCTACGGAGGAAACACCTTGAATGTTTTCAAAAACACATAGGGGTGAAAAACAGTATATTAACTTCCATGGAGGACAATCAAACTTGCTAATGTTTTTCTGGTCATTTTCTATGCTGGCTAAGAGGAAACCACACAAGCTCAGGAGGAAATGAGAGGCCAAAGCATCGTGCTCAGGGAAGGTTACAGCCTGCTCCCTAAACCAAGTCCTTCTTTCACCTGGCGGTCAATGGGACGTCACACTGGATTACAAATTCATTTCTAGTAACATAAAAGATTCTCTCCCTGGAGATCAAAACCTAACAATGAAGACACCAATGGAACAATTCAAATTGCTCTACCTGCATGTTTCTATAAGCATCTGATTCTTGGGGTTAAGTAAAAGGATGTTTCTCTTCAACTCACTTTTGGACCGGTTTCTCCTCGGTTCACACATTTGCTCAGGTGCATCCTTTGACCTCTCTGAGCCAGGCACCGTTACATTCCCTTTCTTCTTTCTACAAGCTTCATGATATTGAATAACGACGCTAGTTTTTATACTCTCTCTTTTCCCAAGGAGCTGAGCAGATGCTCTTCCAAAGGACACAAACACAAAGGTGGGATGGCTCCATCTTGCATTATTAGCATGTTTCGTGAGTGAACCCAGATCTCCGAGAGCCACCTGTCTTCATTTTCCAGAGAACTGTCAGTGACAGCATCGTACTAATTTGCCTGGATGAAATGCTTGTAACGAAACTGATAAACCTCACTAATTAGTGAGCTGGGTAAATGAACAGCCTGAATATATTATCGTTTTAATTGTAAGATGTTAAAAACAAACAACCAGCCACTTCATAACGCAGAGAGTAACGATTGAAATGCCCAAGTGATTTATTTAAATGTTTCCAATTGCAGAACTTGAACTTGGTCCTGGATATGTTCATTTGTTCAACTGTGCTTAAAATATTAATATGATTAAATATTTTATTTCTTCCTTCTGCGGGGGCAGTGATTAATTTTGTATTTCATTGCAAGATTTCTTTTCATCCGCGTGCCTTGACTTGACTCAAACAGTTATGGCCAACAGCCCAAATTAAAACTTGAAAGTCTATTTGCGTTTCAGATGAGGGGAAACACCCCAAGTTAATTCAAAAATCTTATATACTTTGTAGAGAAGCTTGGCGATTGACATCTGGGCTGACATATAACTACAATAACCTCTTTCATTTATGTACTATGTTTAACAAAACATACTTAAAAATGGGTTTACTGAAGGTTTTAAAGTGCTAGTTAACAAATGATAGAGTATACATTGTATGTGAGTACCGAAATATTTTAAAATCATACTCATTGCAGAAAATGGAATCATCCGTTGGTTGAGCTTCCACTGAGTATCTCATTACCTTTCCTCCAACCTCAGACATTGTAAGTCCTTCCTACGAAACTTACTTCTAAGATCTAAATGGGGACTGTCACATGTCAGCCTACAATTGAACCTATACAGCCAGACCCACAAATCAGTGGTAATGTGCTAAAGACATCAGCCACAGACGACTCACGATGCTCTCTTTCACTTAAGTGAAGCTACTTAGAGCCTGTCAGAAAATGACAACTTAGGCAAAGAATACTATTCTACATCCTATGAGCACTGACGTGGCTCCCTCCTCTCAGGCTGGAGAAACTCATCTCTCTCTAAGGCTGACCTATAGAGTCCCCAGCCCACAAAGGTCTAACCAGAATAATTTTTTTTGTTAATCTTCACCCAAGGATATTTTTTCCATTGATTTTTAAAGAAAGTAGAAGGAGGGAAGAGAAGAGGGGAGAGAGAGAAAAAGTGAGAGAGAGAGAATGAGATTGGCTGCCTCTTGCAAGTGCCCTGACCGGGGCCCGGGATTGAACCTGTGACCCTTCTGCGCTCAGGCCTACAATCCAAACACTGAGCAACACCAGCCAGGGCTCTAAACAGAATCATTTAAAAATCCATGAAGGGTCCACATTAAAAGTTAAGTTGCAAACAACACTCGTGTTTCTAGCTGAGCCAAGACAATATTAGACAAGTGATTTTGTGTGACCAACACATCCAAAGATTTGGTCCTTAATGCAGTTGGAACAATTGCGTATTTTAGGTGTGTTTTACTACTGAACGAAGTGACAGAGAGAGTTCAGGGGATTCATCACTTTCTGGTTTGTTTTATAAAATAGAGGGGGGATACTGGAGCCTTAGAGGTTAACACATTTGAATATCTAACCCTTCTGTCCCATCTCTGACAACTAGCTGCTCGGCGTTTGCTAGAAAATGCTGAGTTGCAGAGAACGGAACTCTGTGTTACTAGAGAGTCCAGATTTAATTTTTTTTTTTTTAATGTTTAATCAAAAGCAGCTTCCTGTAACTTCTGCTCATTCCACCTCATGGAGAAACATAAATCAGTCTAAATTCAAGGGATAAGTCATTGTAGAGGTCAAAAAGTGCATTTCAAACTTAGTTTTCTTGAATTCTTCATGACACAGCCCACCTGATACACGAGAACCTCCCCAGGCGTGATTGCTGGCCCCCCAGTGAGCGAGGGGAGCCCTACCGCGAAGAAAAGGGTACTGCTGACGTCCGAGAGATGACAGGTATATTTGTGGGTACTTTTCCTCCCACTTTTGTGGTCTTTCATCTGGTTTCTTCTCTTTCCTCCCTTTAAACTAAAACTCCTTTCCCCTGGGAACAGTTCAGCTGGGGTCCTCTCTGGGTAAAGCCAACGACATTGTTATTCCAAAGAGATGTTTGTTAGGATGAGGGACTATCTAACTGTAAACNCAACGACATTGTTATTCCAAAGAGATGTTTGTTAGGATGAGGGACTATCTAACTGGTGAAATNTTAGGATGAGGGACTATCTAACTGTAAACGTAAACCCAGAATATTTTTACCACTGTTTTTTACCACTCTGAGAAACCAATCCCCTTTCCATTTATCTCAAGCAAGCCGCTGGGGGTGCGTTGGGGGGCGGTGTGTAAACACAGAGAGCTGTTCGCATCGCTTAGTGAGGCACGGCCACACTTTCTTTGCAAATAGGTGAGCACCTTGCAGAAAGGAGTGCCTGCAAGCCCGCTCCACGCGTGAGCCAGCAGCTGCCTCTCGGCGGGGAGGTGTCCTGCGTCGCACAGTCGCTGGCTTGCCGTGTCTTCCACGTGCCAGTGCCCTGTTCAGGCTGAACTCCGCCCCTGCCACCCTGCGCAGAGCCAGACGCCGTCCCGGCCCGCAGCAGGACGCAGGCCCGCGGCTCCTGAGCCACCTCCTTTGGGGGATGTGATGCATCGGAAACTGGGTTGCCAGAAGTCAAGGCTCAAAGTAAATTTGCATCAAATCCAAAGCCGGGTGCTTATCTGGACATTAAAACCGCCAGGTGAGCCTATAAAACAGGCCCGGTGCCTGTTTCACTCGGCCAACTGGCCTTCTAAGTGGATTGACTTCCGAGTTGCATCCCACACTTTGAGGCTCTACTTGGACAGCCAAGAGCCATGAAATTATTGACACAAGAGCATGTAATGTTTGCAATAAAATATTCCATTTGTCTTTTACATCTATGTAGTTTTTTGAATTATAGGGCACTTAAGGATGTTGGTCAGGCAATCGAGTTTAGGACAAGCTTAACATTTAAACTTTGTTATGGGTTTTAAGCAACTTCACTCTGTGAACTTCCTATATCCACATAGATCTATTTTAACTGCATGTCCGTTTAATGATTAATTAAATAAACCATTCTAAGTCTTAGCTTTTTAAGAATTTGTTTTCTGTGACATAACAATATCATAGTACCAATTGCTCATTTTGTTTTAAATACACATTGTGGGGTTTTTATTATTTTAATTTATTTTTTATTTAATTTATTGGGGTGGCATTGGTTAATAAAATTATATAGGTTTCAGGGGTACAATTCTATAATGCATCATCTGTATATTGTACCGTGTGTTCCCCACCCCAGGCCAAGTCTCCTCCCATCACTACTTATCCCCCCCTTACCCTCTCCTACCTCCCCCTTCCCTCTGTCAGTCACCGTATTGTCTGTGTCCATGAGAAGTTCTCTGGTCTCCTTTGCTTAGTTCCTTCACCCTTGTCACCCATCCCCAACCCCATCCCCTCTGACAGCTGTCAGTCTGTTCCATAATCCAGGAGTCTGTCTCCACTTGTTTATTTTGTTCATTAGATTCTACATGTGAGTGAGATCATGTGATATTGGCCTTTCTCTGCCTGGCTTATTTCACTCAGCGTGATGCTCACCAGGCCCCTCCATGCTGTCCCAAAGGGTAAGTGGTCCTTCTTCCTTACAGCTGCGTAGTGTTCCATGGTGTGACTGTCCCGCAGCTTTTTATCCACCCCTCTCCTGATGGGCACTTGGGCTGCTTCCAAATCTTGCAGGTAAATAATGCTGCAATGAACCATAGGGGTGCATATATTTTAAAATGTGGTTTTTTTATACTAATAGGTATGACCATGCAAAGGGTTGTTAGTGAAGTTTTCACTGGGAGAGAAGGTAAGAATGGAGGAGTGAAGTAGGCATTTCAGCCTTTCTACTTAGATATGTGGCACCTTGGGATAGATGGGGAACTATAGTCTACTGTTCCCTTGGAAATTTTTCTTAGCCTTTCTTGGCCTCAGATTTCTCACTCATAAAATGGATATGAAAATGTCATGTTTTATCAAATCTAAGACATCACTGATTGTAATACGTGCCATTTTTTAATGTACCACTAAGGAAAACAAAATACTGCTTCAACTGTGACACAATACTTTCTTGTCCTTAGAATTGTTATAGTTGTAAATGTCTTTTAGCCTTTTTTAGATATATTTAATCAAGTGTCACACATTTGTTTCCATGATTTTCTGTGTACACAATAATTCTCAGTACACAGTAAAATATATATATATATATATTTTATATATATATATATGGTTAAAAAAGCTATGACCAAACAGTGAATTCCCAGGTGATGAAACTTGGGAAACTATGTCTTTCTGCCTGGCATTGACTGTCACCTGCCATTAATTATAAACTTTCCCAGGGTCAGAAGTGTCAGTAAGTGAAGGAAAAAAAAAAAACATGTCTTTGACTCTATGAAGAATGGAGATATATTATTATCAATTCAAATAATCATTATTGTTATTGTTATTGTTATTATGGTTGTTACTATTATCAAAATATTTCACATACCACAGATGAGTATGTTCCAAAATGAACATCCCAAGATGATCTGCTTCTGCACTATGGAAACTATTGTGTTAAAGTTCATTTTTGAGTGTAGTAGAGAAAATAAAGGCTCCTTTCTTCAGTATAAATTTCGTGGCAGCTTCTCAGACCAAATGTCATCAATAATTGGATATCCAATTATTCCGTTGTTTGCCTTTGTACCCAGAGCTTCCGAAGACTCCAGGATACTACGGACAGCACTAGTCTTGAGTAAAATCATTTTCTCTAATTAAGTAGGCATGAGAAACTCTTCACAGTAACTCCCTGTGATATTGACCCGCAAGGACATCCAATTGTATGAGGCAGGCCTTCCTACTTGCTTTCTTTAAACTTCAATCTCCTCCTATGACAGGGAACCTTAAAAAAAAAAAAAAAAAAAAAA